AACAGCATAATATTTGCACACAACTCCCATACACTTTGCATCATCTTCAGATTTTAATTGGTAGAGGAGCAGCAGAAAAGGTGGAAGGCCCTGGAAAAGATGAATTGATTGACACATGTCTGCAACAGTGGACTCAAACAAGAACAATTGTGAGGATGGAGCCGACCAGGCCTGGTTTTTCTCTTTCTGTTGTACACAGGGTCACATTGACTAGACAACTCACACACCCAACAACAATAGATTGAAATACTTAAGACAGTCTAAATGCTATGTGAATTGCACGCTATCCTTCCTCTTAGCCCTCGAGGGATTGGTCTGACCACTTCATTGCATTTTAGGAGCTATGTTTTCAGAGAAACCAGGGTGCACACAACAGAAGCAGCAACAAACAAGGCGAGTTAGGCATGCAAGACAACCTATAAAACAACAACAACAAACTTACTGCTGTTGAATGAGTGCTGAGGTCATAGTGACTGCCTGTGGATTTCCAAGACTGTAACTGTTGATGGGACTAGAGAGCCCAGGCTTTTGTGGAGCTGCTGGTGGTTTAGAACTGCCAACGATGCAGATTGCAGCCCAACACATAACCACTGCACCACCAGGGCTTCCAGCAAGGCAAGGCATACACATAAACATGTATTATGAAGTCCTGGAGAGATACCAAGGATCTGTGACATGGCAGGAGGTGACAGCAGGTGTTCCTGTACATCCCACATTCCAGTGGATTCAGAGGAGTGCTTGGTACAGAGCAGGCTCAAGTTTTACTTTGTAGAATCCCCTTTCCTCTGGCTCCCATATATTTTGATCCTGAGTTGGTTCAGTTCACAGATGTGGAACCCACAGATACAGAGGAACAACTGTATTTCAAATGTTATTCCAAGCTATTAGAAAAAAAGAATGCTTTTCCTCCCAAGTCTAGAACTTAGGCATTTATTAGGAGGGTGATTTCCTTCAAAGTAATCACCTACCTTTTCCTGTTTTGGAATTTCCCTCAAGGTTTATTATATTAATACCTTAAGTTAATGCACACTTTTGTTAAGTGGCTTTGAATTTTGAATTCACCATTCATGAACTCAGTTGCCAGAGAAAGTGCATAGGACCTAGGGTACGCTTTCCACAGCCCACCAGCTAAGGCCAGATGCCGCTGTCGAAACCCCACCTTTCTGCAGCAGGTTTAATAGATTTGTGCGCCCACCTTCTGTCACATTTAAAAAATTTTAATAACTTGATGGCCATCTTAGAGGAGTTTAGCATATCAAAAAGGTATATTAAGCCACAGAACAGTTTCTTTTGCTAAATATTTGCTAGCAAGGCATTTTGTTAAACTCAAAAACAAGTTCATGTCTGATGTTGAAATAAAATTTGGGAATAGCTATCCATTTGGCATGATTTTGAGGCCCCTCTCTGGGCCAGCGCCAGGCTGGGTAGTGATGGGTTTTAGTGACTCTCACCCAGGGATGAATTTTTACTCCAGTGGAAGAGGCAGTGCAATGCAATACAGTGCACCGCTAACCAGTCTTAGATAACCCACACAGGAAATAGGGTAGGTTAGGCATCTTTGCTGCGGGGTACCTTTCCCTTGGCCTTTAGCAGTTAAGGCATGCAAAA